TAAGAATTATGACTAGAAATAGTACTTTACACTGGGAAAAAATATTGTTCTAGTTGCAAGTGGAAAAAGAAATTTGGAAAGACCAAACAGCTATACACCTGGTCAGGAGTTTGGAGTTTGTAAGTACCACTGTAAGAAGTGTCCAAGACCTCCCTTAGAGTGCCACATAACACAGCATTTTCAACCCTGCCATTACTTAACATGATAGTTTATAGTTTTCTCTCTTTCTGCAGAGCACTCAACGCACAAGTTTACCAATCCACATAGTTCATGCTTTGAGAACTCACCTAAAATAACCAAAGGCTCACATAATGTTAAATGTATCTACAGCCTGAATTTTTATTGCTGAGATAGAATAGGCTTTGCCATGACAGGTGTAAATGTTTCTGTGTTCTACCTGTCACGCTGGACTGATAAGGAGTTGCTCTGATCTACTGTATGACCTTCACTGAAGAGCCCTAACTCTGAATACAATCTGATTGCACAGAGAAGTTTACATTCCTTACCAGTTGCAAACAATGAATCTGTACGCTCACATTCCTGCATACAAGAATTTTCTTTTAAAAAATAATAATTAAAAGAAAAAAAAACAGTAGCTCTGAAAAAAACTTTTTTCTGAGTAACAAGATGGCACATGAACCACTAGTAGAGTTCAGCAGCAAGACAGTCCTGACAGTTACCAATCCACTTGCCTCTTGCATCAGGAAAGGCTGAGCAGCTCAAGAAGCAAAGAACAGGAAAAAAGATTTTCAAATGTTGGGGCAATAGATTTGTACTGAGCAAAATACACTTGCTCCCACTGCAAGCACAACTCCCACAAGCACAAAATATATTGGCTTCTTTTTCCCCCCCTGTATTCAGCAGTGTGTTTAACCTTGGAGCTGTCAAGCTCCATCATGAATAATGAGCCATGACAACACTTCAAGTGATCCTTGGAGAACAGACCAATTTTTCCTATATGCTGTGCAAGGCAAAATGCTTATATTCCCATGGTACTGCACCTGCTTTGAAAATATACAGTAATGTGGCCATCAAGAGGACACCACAAGCAAATACAGAAAAAAAAAAAAATCACTTATTTCCTGATATTTCAGCACCTACAAACAGAAAGAGCAGTAAAACAAGTAACATCCTAATGGTTCCTATTCAAAAATATACCAGGGCTGAGGAGATTTGTCTCACTGAATACGCATTTCACACAACCGTTTTACAGACGAGGAATATCTGCATTTGAAACAACCCATGACAGCTACAGTGTGAAGAGAGAACACCCTGCAGGTTTCACTGCCCTGTGCTCAGTGACCTCCAGTAGATGAGCACCAACATGGAATGGGGGGCGGCCTCTGCCCAAGCAGCCCCTCAGCACTCTCGGAACAAACATATCCCCTGCTCCATCCCATGGCACTGCAAGAAAGTATAGGAAAAAAATGTAATTATTTGGATGACTGACTGAAGCTCCCCTAAACCAACACCCTAACCATGCCAAGGCAGGACTTCAGAAGGCACAGCACAGGTAACCAAGCAATGGCAAGAGCCATGTCTGCTGCACACCTCTCAAGCCCAACATGAGGAGGAAGACAAGAGCAAACAGATTCACCTAAAGAAAGTAAAAACTTGGAAGAAACAAGCTGAAGATTTAAACAGACATTCCCTTGTCTTTTAAACAAAAGATGGAAGGTTGTAGTAGCAAAAAGCCCTTAAAAAATCATCACTTGTTCAGAAATCATCACTCCAACAGACCGAAGCAGAATGCATTTGTCCTGTATTTCTGAAAAGGGGGAAAAATAAATATATCCTTATTCCTGACCTGTTTGCAACAGAGTATCTGTCCATGGTTTTGTGGTGGGAAAAACTTGTCTTTATTTTTGTCATTTCCTAGCCTTGTTGCCAGAACCGAAAAGACAGTGCATCACTTTCAGCTCTCTGTAGGGGCACCACTTTATCTACAATTGAGTTTCAAAGGTTACCATAAACTACAGGAGCTCTCAAAAGACTCTGGAGAGCAGGAAAGCAACAATCTTGAACCTGTAATGCTTGTTCTTCCATAAGGTGCGAAGTTTGCAGTGTCAGACAGCAGAAACCAGTCCTGAGCACTTTGAGGAGCACTAACACATTTTCCTCCCACCAAACTGTTGTAAAAAACAACTGAGGCCCTTCCTGCAAGACTAAATGACTCAGAAAGCTGAAATCAGAAAATCTCTTCAACTGTGGTCAAAGCTAGAGAGGAGCCTCTAACAACAAAGCAGTAATTACACATGATAATGTATTTATTGACAATTTAATTTTCCACTTGGGAGTCCAGTCACTTATACCCCTCATACCTCCACCTGTTGGCCTTTACCCCTACTCACCTCTTCCATGTACAGGGCATTTATCAGCTATTCACGTCACACTAGGTCTACCTTTCTCCTAGAGAACTTCCAAATGTCACCACACACAACACAACCATCAAAATGGTTCTGCTCTTAACAGAGGACTCTCAAGGTCATTCCCCAAATTACAGGGACAGTAATCTTCTGCAAATAGTTAAAATGTCCTTAGCCCTCCATATACACCATGGTGGTTTCTCCCATTCCCTGATGATACACTGCCATTTATGCTCCACATCACAGCTCTACGTGTTTAGTAATTCCATTCCCTGCTAGCAATATTTGGCAATACGAACATTTTAAAGAAGGCTAATTACAAATTTCACTTGAAAAGAAATTGGTACTGGGCCAATCTGTAAGCTCTTTAACAAGCTTTCAAACTTCACACCAGGGAAGACTGTTCTCCACCAGGAGCAATGACATAGCTCTAAAAGCAAAGGTGGAAATCTTGCCACTGCAAGATGAGGAGGGAAGGTTACAGCTCTGATTCTCCTTGCAGCACTGCACCTTCTCCATGCGACTCTTTTCCTTGAAAATATGCTGACCATTTTTCACAAACGAAAAACTGAGAAAGCCAGTTCAGATACCATGAAAATAATGAAAAGTAGTCACCAAAAAATCCTGGAAAGCAGTCACAAAAACCCTCTGTTTCACAGTCGTGTCAAAAAAGGAACAAAGGCCAGTTATGACAGAAAGCAGGTCAAGGACTCAAAAGCTAGGAATTCATAAAATTAAGGATGCATGGTCACAAGCATGCTTGAAGCATGGCATTTTCAGAGAACAGCAGTGTCTCAAGACGGACTCCCAGTTTTCAAAGGGATGGAAGAACCCAAGACAAAGTTTCTCAAGCACTTTAGCATCTAGTCCTATATCAGGACAAATGTTTTCTGTCTATATATACCAGACTTGGCACAGAAAACAGCAATACCACCAGCGGATGCTCCTCACCACCTTTGTACTGCTGCCACTTTTTCTCTCTGTGTTCACAATACCTGGTGAAATAACATTTCAGCCAGATCATTTTTCTGAGGGGAATTAATGCAAGATTCTGCAAACATGCTCTGCGCTACCTGCTTGATAACCAAGGTGGAACTGAAAAGGGTAGCTGATAAAGTGATGGTCAACAGAAAGTTGGTTCTGTTTTAAGAGTACAAGACTAGCATCCAGGAAAACTACACAAGGGCTTTCCCTGCAAGATTCAAGACAAGTCATCATTTTTCCCTGTGGTCAATGACTATGTGGCATCACAAGGAGATGTTACACCTGACACACTGAAATTCTGCCATCAGAGTGGCTGACTGCCCAGAGAATCCCAGCTGGAATCTGTGGTAACCATGCACACCAAGCACACAGCTGTTGGGAAGTCTCCAACTGTGAGCTCAACCCACAGGCACCAGAACAAGAAGAGTTATGAGTGTTACACATGTAAAGCTCACACATCAATAATGTGTTTGACAGAGATTAAACCCATGAATACCTAAAACATCCTTAGCTTTTAATGTACCTAAACATTTTCCCCATTAGGAGATGCCACACTAAAAGAACGATTTGTGACAGTAGCAGACTCTTCTCCTGTACACAGGCAAGCCTGTAAGAGGCTAACAGAACCACTCTTGAAAAAGGGCTACACACCTACTCCCTACACACTATTAAAACGCATTTACATCACCTTGGAAACCTCTTTGGGGGCAGGAGAACAGTCATGGTACAACTGCAAAGCATCACAAATCATTAATTTTGAAAGGCAAACCGTAAGTTCTGACCACTGCCCAATGTCTAAAAGTTGAGAATAAAAAAGCGGCAGGAAAGGAGATATCTTTTTTTCAGTCTTATTCTCTGAATTCACGCATATTCATGCATATTTTACTGATATGTTGGCAGGGTTTTCCAACTGATTATAGATCTAGTGGGAAGAATTTAACCTAGAACCTCAAGACTATCAAAACACAAGTACTTGAACTCAGACTATCAGAGCAGGAAACAAGAAGAAACCTAATATGAGTGTTACTAGATGCTCTAATTATTAATGTGCGCACACACAGAGCTTATCAGAAGTGCCAAGGCATTTGAAAGAAAAAGCACTATTCAAAGACAGCTATTTGCCAGCAACTCTATCATCACCATATTCTTTAGTTGGTTTTGACTGAATTCAGAGACATCATGTTAATCCCACAGGACAGTATCATTCACTTTTATAATAGCTACTGACCTTATTTCTGTGTTTGAGCCCTGTTGTAGCGTCATGACTAAATGTGGCAAGCAGCAAATCTCACTCTGTCAGCAGCCAGTGCCTGTCCTTTCTCCTTTTAAAGCTTTCATTCATTTCTGCAATTTTTTTAAAGTCATGCTGCTTCAAAACAGCTGATCCAGATGGCAGATATTTGGATTTCAACCTTCCCACATGGTGATGTGGCTCAAGAAAATAAAAACTGTTGCTACCTGCTGCTGACCTACTTTAATTTGCTTCCTGCCACACAACAGAATAAAGAACACAGTTCATTGAACTACTCTTCCACACCTTCCCACTGCTATGTAGGAAATATAAAATAAAATTAAGAGAGAAAGGAGGAGGAAAGAAAAAAAAAAACAGGCAGCATGATCCAGTGGAGAATAGGGGGGAGCAATTCTCACCTCTATCATAGTCATCTTCCTCTATTGCTTTTTCCTGAAGCCTCTGAAGCCGTAAGATCAAGGATTTTATCTATGCAAAGAAAAAAAGGTTAATTACGAAGAAGCTGCATTTAAAAATATTTAGACTATTAACCTCTACATATTATAATGGCTTCCTACATCACTACAATGACCAAATTTTGATTGTTAAGCCCAGTATTTGTTAATTAGCCAGACCTACTTGGAAGTCAGTTGAATTGAAGCTACTTGAGCCAAGCATGGCTTTAGTCCAAACGCATACAGGGAATAACAAACGATATTTCTTGAAAAGCAAAGGAGATCATGTGATTGCAGGATATTTTTCACCCTTTGACTAAATCAAAGTAGGATCATCAGAGGATTCTGTCAGCATGACATATACTTCTGTACCCAACAGTGTGTTCCCGAGCCCATTCCAACAATTTTTTGCCTGAGTTTTGCACAGAATACAAAATTTCCATATGTAAACCACATTTTATTCTGTAACTAGAAAGAGGAATGCAGTATGAATATTTTGGAACAGGTACACTCATGTTATGGGTCAGAAGACAGTATTCATATACACCCAATGAAGTTTCATTAAAATACAATTTAGGCTTATCTAAATAATATTGATGTTTGCATTTTCAGCTCACAATGCAAATGCTAGATGAGGAAAAAAGCAGAACGCCAAGAATACCTAAACCACAAACAGAGTGCTCTCTCACACCCAGAAAAAAAAAGAAAATTCTACCATAATAAAGTTTTATTCCAAGAGCTAATGTTTCTCTTTGTTAACATCAAAGAGTGTTTTAAAGTTTTAAAGTTCTAAATTTGCTAAAAATTTGTAAGGCTAGGTGTATATTCCAAGGCCTTTTCAAGATTTTACTGTAAAAAGAAATTGGTTAGAAGGTAGGTTTAGCCCTCTCCTCATTGCCATGCCAGCCACAGCTTAGCATGACTACAGTTACAAGACTGAAATGTATTTCTTTCTTATTAAATTTATACATAACCGGTACCAAACAAGCCAATATCAGCACTGAGAAAGGTAAGCCTGGAAAAAGAAGCAGCTTATATTCCTAAAGTCCAAAGCCTGAAAGCGCTTGGGAAAGCATTTTCCAACACAAGAAAATCCATACTTCAGACATTCTACATTTACAGAATATTTCTCTCCTCCCTGAAACTCTTTCATATTTTATCCCTATAATTAAACTCTAAATTGAATAGAGAAAAACAGGTACAACCAGTCAACAACTTCATAGAAGCACTCAGTTATTGAGACTACACAATCGACACACAAATTAGACAAGACCTTTAAATTCATGATAACCCTTCTAAATGTGGTATGTGAAAGGGACTAGTCAGAAAAGAACTGTAAAAAACAAAGCCAGAAAAGTATCCAACAATGACTGATTAATAACAGCCTATAGGATGGCCCAGAAGAAACACAAACAAAAAACATTGTAAAAAAATTCCCATTTCCTCAAGGCTTTATTTTATTTTGGTTTTCACATCCTGAAACCCTAATCTTTTTTTCTCTGAGGTTGCTGAGGAATGCGTAAGATACTGAAGGGAGGAGCTCTGAATTCTCATCGTAAACTATTTTCTGTATTTTATGCCTGACTTTTGATAGAGCTTTAAAGAACCCTGCAGTAAGAACAATTCAAATGACACTTTTTTTCCCATATATGATGCATAACAACCACCTATACAGCAAGTACAGCTTTGCTGCTGTTTGCAGTGTTTATTCCATCATGTGCTACAGCGGCAGGTCATTTAAAATCTGCTTGGGTACCACAGCCCAGGCTCGCCCACGGCAAACTGACTGATGCTGCCACAGTAAAGTGCTTTCTATTTGCAGGCTGGTAAGACATTTCGAGCTCAACTAATCAAAGAGCTGCTTCAGCGTGGCATGTCCTTTATCTGTACTAGAAGATGATCACTTTTTGGTTTTAAGTACAGAGAAAGCATAATTTTAACAATTTTGGTATTGTCTCCTTTTCTCGACTACAGTTGCCTTTGTTCTTTTCTGAAAACTTTGAGACTTGCTCATTATCATTACAATAGGAAGGTGCTTCAAATTAAACACACACGACTGGCTAACTAAGGGCAAAGACATCTGCAGGGTACAAGTCTCCAGTTCTCCTTTCAGTGAATTAATGAATACAGAAATTAAAGATAGCAATGTTTCATTTGTGCCTATCAAATAAACAAACTGAAAAGAAAGAAAAGTAACTTCCTGTTTTGCTTGTGTTATATATTCCCAAATTTGTAGCAAATAATTTCCCAAAACATCCCAGATCACAGGCACGTTGTCATTCAAGGCATGAAGCCAAAGAAACTGCTCCATGTCAATGTGTGTGGAGTCTGTAAATAAGAGAACCTAGTTTGAGTCCTGTATGCATCCTCTATAGAAAGTATTAGAGAGCATTGCAGGCCCAGGTCAGATGTCATGCAGAAAAAAGCAATAGTAAAAGTTTCTCAACCTTCTGTCTTACCCAGACAGCAAGGTTGTGCCAAGTTTCCCCAGAGTAGGTTGTTTCATCAGGCCTAAAGACAATATAGTGCATTTCAACAGGTATGTGTCTGAGCTGAGAAGTCACAAGAATCTGAGTTTCTGAAAGGCACCAGTGAGACAATTAAAAAAAAACCCAACCAACCCCACAGCAAAAACCAAACAAAAAGCCCAGTACACCAGAAAAACCTGACCACCTACTCAGTGCACCTTAAACAAATTAGTGAAATGCATTGTGTCCGTATTAATCTCTAGATTACTGCTTCCTGGTTGCATAACAAATCTAGTATTTGGTTCCTTTCAGTAGGTAAACTCAATTATTTTCCTCCAATGACCACCCTGCCATCCCAAAAACCTTATAACAAAACACAGCTGATCCTTCTTAAAGTTTCCCTACCCCTCTCCCATAAAGAACACAGTGAGTGATTGCCTGTATATGTTGCAGGTATAAATGTGGGTATATACATATATGCAGAAATAAAGACTCCTGACTCACTGCTCACTACTCCTCTGGGATGGAAGTAAAAAAAAAAAAAAAAAACACAACCAAAAAACAAAAAGGTTCAATTCCCATATGGAGGCAGAGAGGGACTTGACTCCCATTTTTCTTCAAGTGGAGAGAGTACCCATCTATTAAATTACATGCTACTCTCATACAGTTGCCTCACTCCAAGAAATCTCTGGCTAAACTTAAACATTTCCAGTTAAAAAGTTTCACACTGTTAAATCATGATGCTTCAAGAAAAGAGTTATTATCACCCCCAAATTTTGTACTACATATACTCCAAACTGCAGGAAAAAAAAAGCCACCTATGAAAGAAAATGGTGTTTATTGAATTCAGAAACTGATGTGTGACATTGGAAGTGAGTTTCAGTAGAACATAAAACAGGATACTGCAACAACATCACCTTTTTTTTGAAAAACCAAACAAAATCTGTTCTCTCACTTTTATCATACAGAGCACTACTGTAAAACTTTTTCAACAAATGCTGCAAAAGCCATTAGTATCTGAACTCCAACATAAACTTTGATTTCAGAACTATAAAAAAAATGTTTTGAGGGCCAGGGAGAGGAATCAAAAACAAAGTGAGATTACTGACCTTCAGTGTACTGCGGTTGCCAAGCAAGCAGTCCTGCAGCACTGGCTCATATTTTTTCATCAAAATATCCCAGTTACGGTCACTAACAGTAAAGCTACTTTCATAGCCTGAGGTGACAGAAGAGCCAGCAGATGCTGCATCCAAGGAATCTGTAGAATATGAAAATGTTGCATCTATATCTGAGAGAGAGACAGTCTCACAGTCCTGTAATTCATCAAGTTCATGGCTCTCATGTTCATGCTCCAAATCCTCACTGGACCTGGAGAAGCAACACAAATCTCCCAAGTTGTCATGAGTTTGTGACTTCTCTTCTGGCTTCTGCAGGCTTCCTGTGGTTTTGGGATGCAGAACAATCTCAGCTTCTTCAACAGTTGATTTGACTTCAACATCATTTACTCCAGAGATCGAGTTCAGGGAGAGCTGTATGAAGCTGAAATTTGAACTAAAACTATCTAAACTATTGTGTGCAACAGCAGAATGAGAAATATCATCTCTGCTTTGATATTCACAGTTGTTATTCACTTCTGTCCCATCCAAAGCATACATATTTGGGGGGTTGCTCACTTTTGCACTGTGGTTTTTCTGCCGCGTACAGCATTCAGCAGAAACATCTCCTTTGCTTGTTGCAGCAGCAGGGTAAGCTGCTGTCACCGTGTTTTCCGACCCTGGACTCTTGCAACACAACAGATTTTTGCAGCATCCTGGCATACTTCCAATAGTGGCCAACGTTGTTACCCCATCAGCAGGAATTACGGCACTACTAACCGCATTACAGTGCAGGAATTCAAAGTTATTTTGGCATTGTCTGCACAGAGCGCAGTTCTCAAAGTCTCCACAACCCTGCCTTCCATGTTGGAGCTCTCCTGGTCTGAATGGTTTGCAGGCACCAAGGGACTGAAACTCTATCTGTTGCTGAGCTTCTGGTCTCATGTATCCAGGTCTTTTTGCCAGTCTCTTTTTACGAAGGGAGCCTGCAGGCATTAATTGCTGGTGATCATCTGGGGGGAGAGAAAAAAAAAGTCAGTGAAATGCTTCTGCAGTTTTATAGGCTTAACAGTTGTTCCTGAAATTTCAAGCAGCATGCACGGCTTTCCTTTTCAGCAAAACAAAGACAACGACCATTCTGCAGATAAGGAACACTGCATGTATTCATTCACTTTCTAAAGAGTTTGCACCTGGTTTTAAGTGAACCCACTAACACAATCTTGTCCATCAGGACACATGAAACCTGAGTAGAATGAATCACATCATCTTCTCTATTCACAATACCACTCTACTTTTTCATTCTCAACTTGCTTAACAGCACATTAAAGGACAGACTTCAATTATCTCTGATTCAGAATGATTGCAGACTTAAAAGCACATCTAAGACAGGACTGAATCTACATCCAAAAAAGTGAGAACCATACTCACAAAGAAATTTTGTTCATAACCTATTGTTGCTTGTGTCCAGTTTCTTGTGTCTATAACCATGCTTTAATAGTATGAGTAGCAAGTGGTTCAGATTCTGCTTCCAGAATAGATGCAATTCTGTAGCACCCTGTGGTTGCAGGTATCAGTCTAATGAAATATTGTAGAAGTTGTCATTTAGATTTATCATACTACCTATTGTGCAAAATGTAGAGTTAAAGGAGAAGTTTTGCATGCAGAGCCATCATCGTAGAAAACTAACGCTTTGTAGCACTACTGACGTATTAATATCATTAAGGAAGGGCCTTTGCTCAATAACTATTTCCCCACACATACCTTACTTACAGAGATGATTGCTGTTTGCAGAGAATAGAAAACAAGCAAGCAAAAAAACAACCAAAAAAACCCCAAGATAAAAATCACAGTGAACATTAGAAGAAGGACATCAGAATTGATGTCCTGTCTGTGTTTTCTGTTTATTTCTATATACATTATGGGTGAAAGATTGCATGGCAACTACTTTCCATTTCTCATGGATTTACTGCTAGTTAAAAGGTATTCCATTTGTCTGTCCTGCACAAAATAATGGGGATACAAGCTTTGCACTTTCATCCATTTTGTAACATGAAAACATATTGACTGGACCTATTTGCCAGAATCACCCTTCAAGGGGATCTGGTGACTAGCTGAATTATGCCCTCTACCCACTGCAACAGAATCAAATTGCCAGAATCTCGGGTATTAGAAATATTCTTATTGCCCACACAGAGCTCTTCCAAAAACAACAAGTTTCAGATTTTTTTCTTTACATTTAATATTCATCTCTCATCACGACCCTTTGTCAATTTTTATATTGACAGTTGTGCACACAATCTAAACTCTTCAGCAACTCCTAACACAGGTCTCATACACACCTCACTACAATGCCATCCTATACAAGAATTTAAGCATTAGACCTGAAACTTCCCAGGAGAATTTTCCCAACATTCATTACATTCTCTTCATAATAATAACATTCTCTCCAAAATAACCTTCAACAAAAGCAATTTATACATTTTCCATGTACTAGAATAGTGGCACATCTCACCATGAGACTGCAGTTAAACCTCTGTATTCTGCTTCCTATCACCATAAATTAGAATATCCCAGCTGTCTCTTAGATTCTCTTTTGTCTGAGGAAAAAAGCATCACAGAAATCAGAAGTAAAAAAGGTCACAGAGTCCATCAGCCCATCTACTATAAAAAGACAGTGAAATGCTGTACTGGCAGTAATTTAATAGAAGTCTTAACAAACAGGAACCACGCTTGGAGCAAGGGGAAAAAATTTAGAACAAAATGTTCTTTAGAATTTAATTCTTTCAGTTTATATACAAAACAACAGCCTAAATTTGACTTCAGCAGAAGAAAGCAGTCACACAGAAAAAAGTAATTCTAGGACTGCATATACTCCCTCACCATTTAAAAAGGCTAGTCACAGGTCTTGTCTGTAAAAATGTAAAAGGTTCTCTGGTTTAATTAAAATCAGTTTAAAATTGATCTCACTAAATCACTATGAATTTCTAAAGCAGACAGATAATTACAGCTCTTCAAACACCAAATTTAAACTAAGCTAATGTAAATAGGGTTTAAATTGGCCAAAGTGTTAGATATTAACACCAAGTGAACTGGATGCAATTCTAAATATTATTGGAGCCAAAGGGGTACAATTCCAGTATTCTCATCAAGTTCACACAAAACCCACACATCTCTGCAGTCCTCACAATATTTGCAGGTAACCCTCTAGGTAGGTTTGGCATTCAGCTCTTTTATGAACTCCAGGTCTGCCTCCTGTTGAGTCCAGCAGCATAAGTCGCTCACCTGGACACCAGAACAGACCACTGTCTGAGTTATCCTCAAGATTATAGTCCAAGCCACGATCCATCCAGAGGATGCTACCAGGAGAGAGCTCCAAGTCCTTCACCCCAATGTAGCTGCCCCTGAGCACAAGGTAGAGTGGACAGAGCAGGGACCAACATGAACATTCACACCTTTGCCCAAAGGATAAGGGAGGGAGGGAGGAGACAGTGGCCACAGCTTGATCCCCAGCTCCATCTAGAGAGCAGTCACAATGCTCTCAGACATCACAAAACTCTGCCTGGAAGTTACTATGGCTTTGGGCATAGTAATACTGTTTGGGCACTGTTTACACTTCTGCCGTGTCCTTTTTCTCAAGATCAGAATGATTTCAGTTGTTTATCATCACATATCTGAAATTCAGTTACAGAGACTTTGTTTCTCTGCATAGCCTTCCAACCATAGCTTGCTGTGTCTGCACATCAGATACAGAAACTACACTGCACCAATTCAGCTCTCTTGTTAAATAAAGACAGGCCACAAATTTGTCTTATAATTCCCTCAATTTCAAGAACATCAAATAACATTTGGCAATTAACTACAAGACTATCAGAATGGAAACAACTGAAGGTAATTTTTAAATCCTACATTATAGCGTGTCATGCATTGTATCAGACACGCATTTAGAAAAAGAGTAAAGTCCCAAACGGAAGAGCCTTTCAATTGTAATATTACAAATCAACTTTTAAAAAAATATATTTTACAGTCTTGGAAGATGATGCAACATATATTCTAATGGCAAGTATGTGCAACTTACTTCAAATTATGAAAGCCCAGAAATAATCATAACAGCTCTTTCACCACAGTAATCTTTCCTGATGACCAATATTTCATAAAAGCTAACAGTTCGCATCTAGAGCAGAGGGAAAAAGAAAATAGTCTATTGTCATAAAGCAGTGTTGTTCACATCTAAGTTCACACCAGTGAGATGAAAGAGGGAGAGGTGAAGCGAGAAAGAGAGGAAGAGCATTTCCCACTGATGAAAAGAGCACATTCTCTTGTACCCAGCCTGATGCTAAAGAACAGCAATCATCTAATTTATTTTAGATCATCAGTCTCTGTTTTCAGCCACAAAAGCGGCATTTCAGGTTTTTTGATCAAAAGCTCTAGTAGCATCTGTGGATAGAAAGGTGTAACCACCTTACATTTTTGTTAAGTACACTAGAATTTTACAGATCAGTACAGAAACTCTGAAGCAATCGCCTCCTCACTTCTGCCTTAAGCATGTAATGCAAAATGCTTGGAAGCTCATCAAGTCCTTTCTGAAAGTAAGTGAAAAATTATATAAGCAGTTTTAAAGATAGCTTGACTATCTGAATATACGTATATTATACACAACTGATTCTTATTAGAATAACAAATTCACCTTCACAGCATTTGTGGGTGGTAACTGCGGTGAGGAGGAAAAGGTATTTAGTCATATTCAAAGCCAACTATCAAAGTACTGCTCCAAGCAACTTCTGTAGTGCTTTTTATGTTAAGGAAGCCTTAAACACCTGCATTAAACTGTACACAAACAAAGTAAGTGAGATGAAAATATTTATTATTTACAAACACATACACAAATGTTTAACCTATCAGGAACAAAAAGGAACTATTCTGAGGGATTAATCAATATGACATGACAATAACTATTACTGTTCGGTTCCTAAGTCATAGAAATACATAAAATGTTGCAGGTTCCTAATCAGTTACAGTTTGACTCATTTGTTGAATTTCAAAGATACCACTAAATATTCAAACTAAGATGGCACTGATCCCAACATAGCCTCTGTTAAAAGAGGCTCTGTTACAGAAGTCCCAAGTGAAAAAAGCCAGGAAAGCCCAAGACCTTTGCAATAAAAACATCAGTGTAATCCTGTTACAGACACTCCTCACACTTCTCGTTCTCCAGCTGTTATTACATCTCACTTCCCAAATTCATCTGTGGTTGATGAGCCTCAACCCAAATCACTTTTCAAATCTCCTTACACAACTCACTGATATATTTCACCCAACCCACAGATATCAACCTCGGCTAGCTAGAACTCCCAAACTCACACAACTCGCTGCCTAACAGCAGTTTTCAGGCTCCCAAGTCATCAATTACCCTACCAAGCTAAGCAATCCATCCTGTCAACCATCTGATGGACAACAAAACACCCAGGGGGTACAACACAAGCAGGTCTGGAAAAAAAAGCCAGCACCAGCACTGGGTGCCTTCAGCACAGAAGGCATTTCCCCACAAATATCCAGCCCAATTTTTTCCAAACCTTTAAGTATAATTTTCTTTAATTTCTAGTTAACTAACTGAGAATAATTTACGCATTTTTCAAAGAGGCAGATGAACACAAGTTGCAAGCCTACAGAGAATATTCACAATAGAAAAAAATCAATGCTTATTTCAGGAGTTGGGGGGTGTAGTTATAAGTTTTGTTGTTCTTCATGGAGAAAAAACCTTTTGTTCCCTGTTTCAATGCAAAATTCTGTAGAGGCAGCCCATGCAAATGTCTAAAGTGGAGAGAACATCCTGTTCTTTCAGTCAAGATCTAACAACAGCTTTAAATATTACATAGAAATTGGGGGGTAAGGATATTGCATAGAAACTGAAGTTTGCTTAGGTCATAAATTAACTTGCAAACAACACTTAATGGGTTTGCAGTCATATCCCATAAAAGTATTTCACCAAACATGCGTGAAACTACAAAATTAGTAC